GCACAGGTATACTAGTGCTGTAGAACAGTTTATATTTGGAAAGACTGATCAGTGATCTAAAGTTCTTGCAAGGAAAATGAGAAGAGAAGCTTTTTGAGAAGAAAAGCTATTCTCTCAACAGCAAGTGTGACTGTGTAGACGAAGAACTGCAGGAATATATGAGCATGTCTCCTCACCTGTGGTGTGTACACAGGTGTAGGCCTATGTTATTGGTTCCATTTTCAGTCTGCTCTATCTATTAGTTCAAATATTATTTATAATAGTAATCTTACTGTAATTTTTCTGGTTTCTAGGCTTGTATCTCATGTTAAAAAGGAAGAGAATGCTTTACCATGGGTTTTAATGTTCTCTGCCTGCAATCCCTCCATAATGAACAGGACTCTAATCACAGAATCATAGAATGGTTTGTGTTTGAAGGGATCTTTAAGATCCTCTAGTCCCAAATCCCCTGTCATGGGCAGATATATGGTACAATATAGCATAAAATTTAGAAAAAGATAAAATTCTTAGGTACTTTTCAAAGTTTGTAAACTCTACAGTTCACAATGTAGAAGGATGAAAATTACAAATTATTTGCATATCTGCTAGTAAAAAATCATCAGACTAAATTCAAAACTGCATATTTTGCATTCTTCAATTGTTTCTTCCCATGAAAACCTTTATAGGATTAAATCAGTGATATATAATAAAATTCTCTTTTTTCAAGAAGGATTTTTCTAGCAAGGAAAGACAAGAATGAGTAATTTAATGCCATCTGAAATATATAACATTAATATAAGATTTTAACTCAGTCCAGCTGGCTGCAGATCAAGAATACCAGGCAAAACTCAGCCAGCTCTTTCCATAAATGATCTCTTTCTTTTGTGGGTACTCCAGCTTGCCTTGTCAATTGTGTAAAAATCTTTCCTCTGAAATCCAAGTTTTCCTTTTCAAAGCAATGATGAACATCTTGACTCAAGAGTGTCAGGAAGGAGGTGGTGCCCTGATGGTCCTAGTAGGGGAATGTTTGAGTGGGATATTTCTCCCCTCCTTAACCACAGAGGACTGCACTGGCACTGGGAGGGTCTGCTCAGTCTGGAAACCAGCAGATGCTTTCAAAGGGAGAACCTCCAGGGAAGGAGGGAGTGACTCAATCCCCCTGCAGGTAACATGAAAGAACACAAACTTAGTTTTTGAGTACCAATTTTTTTCTGTACAAAATTTTTGCTATGAAAATTAAAAGAGGTTTTGCACTTAACAGTCTACACCTTTTTCAAAAGGTGTCCTTTGCTTCAGCTCTAGTCAGCCAAAAGAGGTATGTGGGAAAAGAGACTGCCATAGGGACTGTGTGTGTGATGTAAAACAGTGGCTAGAGGGGGAAGGCAAAAACACACTTGGAGAAATACATGGTTTAAGACAGCAAGGAAGTGAAATACATCCAGCTCCATTTTCCCATGCCTGGATAAAACAGAATAGATGTATTAAATCCAAATTTAGGGTCATACCCTTTAATTGGTTTCTTCTGTTTGAGTTGGTTAAAATAATTGTAATGTATTGCTAGTATGGGTATGAAATTCTTGAAACCATAAATAAAAAGGAGGGAGTAACTTCTTTCTAGAGATACTCTGATTAATGCTGCCTTCATACAGGGGTTTTTCTTCATCAAGTGTTTAAAATAACAATTATAGTATGTGTAGAGAATATTATATTCAGAAATTGCCAGGTCTTCTCACATTGCAACTTGGTAGTAAAAAGACACACAAGCACTTGAAGATATGGGAGTACATAGTGGGAAAATGTGGTGTTATTCTTGTCAATAATGATATGAGCTCCAAATTCACAAAAGCTAAAAAAACTGGCTAAATCTTATTTGCAGGCATGTTCTCAAAAATATTTTCATTCTATCAACATTGTTTACTGATGATAGCAACAGGACTTATAGACTGTTTTCCTCCTTGTAAAAACATTTGGGGTTTTATAATTTAGGCAATAATTCAAATAATTCAAGCATCCTTCATTCTAGAAAGAGTTACAATGTTTTCTGTTCTAAACATATGGATTTATTCAAATTTAATTAGCTTCTTTATCACACCAGTGAGGATACAGATTAAAAGAAATATTGTTTTTTCCAGTTCATGACCTAAACTATTTCCTTCTTGTGTGGAGACATGTTAAAAATAAAATCTCCAGACAAATAACATATCGAGTTTGACCTACTGTTTATATTTGTTCTTCATGCCTGAATTGCCCTATGCAAATGTCTTAAGGCAGAAATTAAGGTTGTAAGGGCTTTCTTTGATCAGACATCTTCTAATGGCCAAGGTTTGATTTCATAATGGTAAAGGTAGGATTTCTGTATAATTCTATAAATGTAATTTATATTTTTGCATTCTAATTTGCAAGGTACATAGCTACCAGTGGGAAATAATGTGAAAAAACTGGAAGCAAAGGAAATACTGTGTTTTCAAAAGAAAACAAATTATTGTTAATACCTTGCTGGCTATTGATCGTATCATACATCAGTAATAAAATCTCAGAATATACACAAAAGGGAGATACAAAAAAGATAGGAAGGTTATAAAGCTCATGGAAATTCCTTGGAGACTATCAAGGCTAAAACTGTCTAAACATAAATTAATCTTATAGTAAGATTTGTTCTATGTGTTGTAATGAATTTCTAACTCAGGATTAGCCTTTTTTATTTTATGTGTTAATTGTTTTGTATGATGCTTAGACTTGCGTATAAACAAATTGATAGTGACCCAGCAAAAGAGGTGTTTAGTAAGTTGTAAAAGCAGAAAGTACAGTAAAAATGTTAATTTTCTTATGTTGATGTGAACATCAGCCAGAACCACAAAGTTAGGACTTCTAAACAGAATACTTAAATTCCATAATGATAATAATATTGTTTTCTGAAAGCAGTGTTTTCCTGCAAGGCCAGCACGTTATGTCAAGACTGAGTATCACTTTCAGCAATATTTTGCCACCTCTTCATTTCAGCAGATTCTTGTCCAGCACTCTCAATCTGCTGCATACAAAGCAAGTTTATACTATTTTGGCAGGATGAATCAAACAATTTCCTAGGGGAAAATTCCAGATTTTTTTTTTTTTTTTTGTCTTTGAGTGAAATACCTCATATCTCTCTAGCCTGTGAAAAAAACAAAACCAAAACCAACCACAAGACCAACAAACTTAAAACCCCCACCCAGCCACCACCACTTCTTTTGTTGTGGTGTTGCAGTGAATTTCTGGTTTTTAAGTTCAGTGTCAATATTAGGTTGATTAGCCTTTACAGTCGTGTATTTCCAAGTAAAACCAATAGAAATAAAAACACCGCGAGGCGACTGTGTAGGAAGCCAGTTTAGTAACAGCACTGGCATCCTCTGGATGTGTAAACTGGCGACGGTCTTGCTCACCATGGAGAACATGGCCCCGTCACAAAGCAGATCATGTCCACTCTGTTAGCAGACACTCAGCTGCTCCACTGGGCTTTCTGTACACATACAGATTAGATGAAATAACTGTTCTGACATTTGTAGACCTCAGGTATCAATTTAACATCAGTTAAAATGAAGAGCCATGCAGTGGTAACGAATCATTTGGGACATTGCATTTTCAATTTGGAAGAAAGTGAAACTTAGCCCATTTTGGTGATTTCTGAGGTATTTTTAGGTGATATTCTTTCACCATCACTCTAAACTCAGTTCAAATTCATTGGAGGCTCCTGCAAACTCAGCAGCTTTTTTAGAAACCCTTTGCATTGTACATTGTTTATAACTCTGCTATGGACTGACAGATTTGTATTTCTACTTTTCTAGGATTTGGTTAAGTAACCATCACATCTGTCTGGACCTAAAGATCATGTAGAATGTGGTTTATATGACTATTTTATCTGTACATATCCTTTAATTCTAGCAGGAAATACCTAATTCATGTTTTGCAAGGCCTTTGAAGCAGTCTATGAAAATACTGCTAATCCTACCAAGAGAAGTCTCTGTATATCCTGAAAAACAGTTTAGTGACTATAAAATAAAAGGCTAATTTGGACACTTATATTGCCTACTTCTCGGGCACAATGATGCAATTGTAACATCTTTGTATCCATTTCTTGAGAAAGATTTAAAAAATATCTCAAGTTAATGAAACTTCATATTTTCTAAATTCAAATTATGAAAATCCATACAAGAACTAGTAGGGGTTTTCACTGTCCTGAATTCTGAGGCAGGCTAGTTATCTAACTTTTGTGTTAAGTCTCTATATAAAAGGGAAAGCGAGGAACTCCTTGAGAGCATTATTTAGTCCGTCTAATTGAAGATCTTGCTTTGAGTTGCACTTTTGAGGATCTGCTCTGCCTCCTTTTTCTACAGAGTACAGGGAAATTAGATACATAAACTAGGTGTTGGGGCTGTGATGTGAATACCCCCCCATCCAGCTCTCTTTCCAATCAGAGGATGTCTGATGCTGTGTTCCCTATTACCCAGATGTACCTCATGTATATCAAGAATTTCCAACTAAGAAAGAAATCTCTGCTACAAATCAACAGAACATAGTTACACTACTGAGTTCCATGAAGAAAAGAAGTTGGGGTTATTGTCAGCTGGAAAATGGCCTCTTGGAACTTGTCTCCTGTTTCCATCACAGATGGAAACACAAGTACACTTGTACTTGTACAATCAAGTTAATTAATTTGGGGTGAATATTTTGAGGACTGTTTAGAATCCATAGCTGTTTTGAAAGTATGTGTATCCAGGTAATGATGTACTTATTCCCAACAATTGTGCTGTTAAAAATTTAATTGCTATAATGGATGTTTATAAAAAATTAGTATAAAATATTTTTTCAGCAGTTCATTCCATCAATACTCAGTAAGATGGTTACAAAAAGCATTATTAAAAAAAAAATTCTGCTCATTATTTAGTGTGCTCTCCTGGTAAATAAAGAAAAAGAGCTTTCATAATTTAAGGTTGTTCTTTCCAACTAGTACCATTTCACATTTAACAGTTGTATTTTCTGTTCCATAGGAAATAACAGAGGATCGGGATCGTTCACGACTGGATTCAATGGTGCTGTTAATTATGAAACTGGACCAGCTTGACCAGGATATTGAAAATGCTCTCAGTGCAGGCTCTTCCCCATCCAGCACCCCGACATACAAACGGAGGCATATACCTGTAATCAAGTTTTATTATTATTATTCTAAATAGAATCTCTTTTTGCTTCACCTTTTTCTTTCAGTCATCACATTTTTCAGCTCCTTAATTTAGAACTAAAGCTCTTTTTGTGAAGAATTTGACTTGTATTTTTTTTGTTTGTGCGTGTGTATGTACCTGTTTTGAAGGCAATAACATTGCCATCCATTATTTCCTTTTGGCAACCTCTCATAAATGAGAGCTTCTGAACTCCCAGATAAAACAAAAGGAGATCAACAAGAGTCAGAAAATGTCTGGCTCTCTAATTATCACCTACTGCAAATGGAGAGTCAGCACAGGCTCAGGGTCACACCAGTCTCAGAACATGAGTATGTGTCATTTGACATTACATAGAATGAAAGTAAGTCTGACCTACAGGTCTTGTTTTTCTGATAGGGGAAGGAAAAAAGCCCTTAGTCATTCAAAGTAATATTCTGGGCAGAACTTGAATTATGTAATGCAGGGGTTTTTTTATTAACTTAAAAGGATCATTCTTTGCTGAGAATAATTCAAAAGGGGATGGTACAGCTTACAAACATGACCGATGCATTCTCTTTTTTTCTGTAAAATGTTTACACATGTAACTCTGAAGAACATGAAATGGCTGATCCAAGGTACTCTTGTACAGGCTCCTTGTTAATTTCACCCACATGTGCTGCAGCTGTTTTTCAGTTCAAGAAACTTGAGAAACACTGCCCCAAGATCTCTAGACTAGCATTCATATCATTTTTTTTTTGTTAGTGATATTCTCTTTTAAATAACAAGGAGTTTTTCCTTTGAAAGCCAGGCTTCATTATTGCTAAGTGAGTGGTCTGTAGGTGAGAAAAGCTGTATTTCACTGGGTTTGATCAGCTGAAAATTACATAATGTGTCATTTTTAGAGGAAATCACATAATTTCACTTTCCATCATTAAACATTTTCCCACTGAATATCAATGTTCTCACAGAATCTCCTTAAACACACTAATGACACAGGAAACCTGAAATACAGTGTTGACATCTATTCTCTGTATCTCACCAATCCATGCCAGCACTTTAGCTAATTTCTTACAGCAGTGAAGGGAGCAGAGGTAATGTGTATGAGTAACCCTGCCTGACAATCAGAGGTGGTGCCTGCTCCCATGCTGCAAAGCCCCTCTGCAGAAAGACTGCTTGCATCAAACATGGGATATGTGCTATCTATGGACAGTGATTTCCTAGGAATTTTTGAACCTTTGATTGTTGTGGACCAGAGGATCAAAAGATCTGTTTTTCAAGATATATAGGTATTGAGTTCAGGTTTATATTTATATTATAGTAAGAAATCATTTGAATATGATGTAAAAACCTGGGTGATGCAGCAGAGATCGTAGTTCTGCACCATGGCAGCATAGCTCTTCTAACTAGAAATTTTTGAGAGCAGCTGTAGCCAAACTGACTGCTACAGAGGCTGCTCCATGGCTCTGCTGCATTTCCCAGTGCTTCACATTGCAGATGACTCACTGGCAGGAAATATCTGACTCAAATACATGGTCCTACCAGGAGTCCAGCCTTGTCCCTGATTTCTATTGCTTTTCAGAACACCACACTCTCATGTACATGGCATATAGGCACCTGTCTAAATGGCAGCTTTGGCTTGGCAGACCAGAAATTTAACAGGAACTAACAAATCAAAGGGTGCTGAATCTTTTCAGATGAGGAGCAGAACCCCTGAGATGACTCTGCCTCATATTTCACCTATTCTAGGAACCTGGCATAAGGAAACTGAGGCTTTGTCTGCAAGGAGCTTTCTGGGATTAAGGGTTCAGGAGATTTTTTGCATCCTGTGTAGCTGTATTCATGCAGGCTGCACCTCATCTAAAAATCCTGACAGCATATGGCTGGTTCTACACATAGCCAGTGTCACAATTTATCTGCAAACAGTATAATCCCTTGCCCTCACCCTATGCAGTAAATCAAGCATGTGCTAAATTTTTACTTCCTCAACAATAAAATATACCGTATATCTTCTTTTTATTCTCAGAAAGAGGAATGTAATCAGTGTCATTAAAAGTAAGGGCATTTTAACCAGAAATGGTATTTGGGTGATAAGTGTCTGGTGATTCAAGAAAACTGAGGAGCTGTACCTCTGAATTGTATAAACTGCTGGAGGGTGAAGTCATTTCGTCTGCGTAATGGCTTACAGATGTTCACTAGCCTGCAGTGCTGCAGAGACAGAAGGTGGGAGCACACAGGAAATACTGAATATCAGAGAAAAATGCCAAACTTCCGCATCCCTTAACTGATTTTTCTTACCTTGCATTCTACCATTTAGCTTTGATGTTAGTAGTGATTTATAATTTATAATCTGATTTATAATCAGAACAGCAACTAATGCAAATCACCACATTGAAAAATACAGCAAGCATATATATTTAAGTGAGCTTGCCTAAATATTTTCATTATTTAGCAGAAATATGTCTTTATTTCACATTTACTAAAGAGAGTTGCAAAATTTTTCTACAGGACGTTGAATCTGGTTCTGAAAGTGGAGTGGATGTTGCTTCAGTAAATCACTCACAGACTAACTTGTCTTCTAATATCCATGCTCCTGACCTAGCATCTCCCTCTTCAGTAGCCAGCTCTGGAGCTAAACCAAAGGCTGGGGTGAGTACAAAGGTTATATTTTTTTTTTAAACTTCTCTCATTATTCCAGATTGGAAGTGAAGTTAAAAAATATTACACTATTCATTACTGGGATTGTACAACAGAATGTGTGTGACACTTAGGAAAAAAATGAAAGTGGTCTCAAAAGGCCATTTTAGTGTCTAACAATACTAGATGTTTCACATTTAAATATACACTATTAACAGCTAATGATTACAATAAGCTGTGTTTTTACATGAGAAAATAATTTAAGGGAGTAATGCTATTTAGGAAGGTAAGTTTTTCTTGAAGTGGTATCACTCAGAACATTTCCTAAATCTCATGAAAGGTTCTGCCAGAGAAAAATTGTGGCTGATTTATGATGTTCAAACCCAGTCATCCTGGTCCTCTTGAAGGTATCTACTGCCCTACTGATCTGAGAATGTCATTCTAAGGCAAAATTTGGTGAGTGGTTCCAGGTGCTTCCTTGGGACAAAGGGGAACCTCTGAGCCAGCAGAGACTTTTCTGCTAGTTCCAGTGCATTCTAGGTGGTGAGGAAAGGCTGGCCTGAGAGTTCAGATATGGCAAGGAACCTCCTTCTATATTCATTCATAGATACACAAAACTGTTAGAAGCATGGTTCTTTCTTTTGCTGTTTTCTGTCTTTTGAAGAATTCTTCTTCATAATGTTTCAGCCATCAACATGTGCAGAAATGCTTGGATGTCCTAGGAACTCCTGGTACACTGTCTGTTCCCTCTTGAACTTGCTGTTTCCACTGCTCAAGAAGCATAGAAATCTAGACTTCTAAGTTTTGCCTATGCTGAAAAGTCTTAGCATAACTCCTACTCCATCTGTTCGCTTACTGAAATGTTTCTGGTTACCAGACCAGCAGAAAATCTAGGATAAAATATTAAAATGAAAATGTAGCTAGCATAAATATATGTTTAGAGCAAGTCTATAAAAAGTAAAATAGAAGCCACCTGCCACTTATGCTACAATAATAGCAAGTTAACTAATGCCTTAGATTGTGGCTAACAGAAGTTCTAATAAACATTTACATTTGGGATTGTTCACTTGTACAAAAATAAATTCACTTGTAATTTATCATCAGTGCATAACTATAGCAAATAGAGAGCTCTGCACTCTGTCACTGCATATATAGCAGCAAATTCTCAAATAAGTACATATGTTATTCTGCAAGGTGATATCCCATTTTACCAGACCCTGAGAAGCACCCAGAAACTTTTTCACTTTTTAAGGTATTAAACGTCCCTTTTGAATTTCTGTGTTTCTGCTAGTATTTGGAGAACTCTTGACACCTGGCTTTGCAGAAGTGTGGGTCACTTCCTGGGAGTTAGATATTATGTGTTAATTCAGCTTCAGCAAGTATCTTTCTGACTTTTGCTCTGATTAATATATCATGCTGAGCATATATGCTAATGTTTTTTATTATATAATTTTATAATTTTTTATGAGTGAAGTTAAATTTTTTCCAAACACAGCTCTCTTCTAAAGTTTTGCATTCTGCAACTCCTCCTACCCTGTAGCAATCCGTGTAGTGATCTCCTCTGAAAATCCACAATGTGGTATTCTGTCTATAAAGGAAACTTTTGGGGTTTGGGGAATTTTTTTGTTTTGTTTTTGTTTTTCTAGTTTTGATTTGGATTTTATTTGGGGATTATTTTGTCAGACTAGCTATAGGAATAAAATTATTCTGCACTTGAAACTCAGTGAGCTACTTTTTAATAGGAATGGGCTGCTTCAAAGATTTTGCTCCCTTTTTGGAGTTTGTAACTGCCGATCTCCAAGAGTTCCAGATGCTTAGACTCCAAGGACAACTTCTTTTGTTGTGTTTATTAATAGTATGTAAACAGGAGTGCAAGGGTGATTAGTTATATTATGGAATGATTTGTGGTATTTTTAAACAAACTATAACAAACAGTTGACTGCATCAAAGTCAGACTGTAAAGTTAAACACCACATCATATCCAGACCTGGGTAGTGGGAATACCAAGGCAGGGCAGGGGGACATGAATCTGGATCTAGTTCCTGATAAAGAACTTGTAAAAGATATTAACTACACAGGATACAGTAATTTTGTGCACAGACAAACCATGTCCATTCATGTTCATTCAGCTTTATATGGATTTAAACCAAACTGTTTCAAACAGTGTGAAAATGTGTTGGGATATCTATAAGCATAATTTGGTTTGATAGTCCTAGTGGAAATTATTCACTCATTGGTTTATGGAAAGCAGGATATTTTAAATTTTCACGAGAAGATTTTATAAAATGCTAAACAAGAATCGCATTTAAAATACAGTGTCAATTAGAATATTCTATGCAAATTAGTAATAAATATTATTTTAAATAAAACTGAGGTTATGTGTATATATTTTCATGCACAAGTTGTTTAACATTTTGTGAAGGTTCACTTTGGATAGTCAAACCCATTCTTGTCAGTGTAAATGCCTGTGAACTGTACATATCCATATGTGTAAGCACCCACCTGCCTGCTCACACACACAGAGAAATCCTTACTGAATACAGGCAACACAAGGAGAAACAGGATTCTCCACAGAGCATGGTGGAAAGGCTTCTCTAGGAGTCTGCAGGGTGCAGCAGGAAGGCCTTTGATATGCAGATGTACTTGGTATTTTGGGCTTATGAGAAGCACACCGCTGAATAACCTCCCTCCTAAATTTAGGATGCCACTGTTATATCTCATGGTCAGGGTGAAATAGCAACAAATGACCAACAGGGTGTTTGAACCACAACTTGTACATGTTTGGAAAGGTGCTTATATGTCAATCCTTGCAAAAATAAGGATTCATGTGACTGAATAGATACATTTCCTACATAATTTAGGATGGGAAAGTAAGAAATGGTTTTGGCATCCTTATGTTACTTACATTTACAGAGTAAAAAAAAAAAATCATGCTGCTATAATAAGCACATCTTTATGTTCTGGGGATTTATTAATCAGTCTCCAAAATGAACAAAGATTTTTGTATATTAACATTGAGGATATACACTTGGCTAGCACTAATCACATGAGAGTTGAAATCAGGCTAAAAAAAAATAAGAAATCAACAGTCTTTTGCCCCAGTGGCCATGAGAAACACTGGAAAAAGAGTGTCTTGTCTGGATTTGGAGAGAAAGGAATGTAAATATTCTACATGCCATTGCCTTCCACAAACCAATGCTATACATTAGGACAATTAAAATATTCTTAACAATAAAGACCAGAAATTATTTATTTTTAAATGTGGTTTTATTATTATAGAAACAACATGGGACTACAGTACTTAGAATATGTTTTAATTACTAAAAGCAAGTTACCATATCCTTCTCCAATGCCCAGTTAAAAGCTAATCAGTTAAGGAAAACTTGAATCAATTATCATTGTCTTTTTTTTTTTTACTTCCTCTGTACAAAAAATTGGCTAAAGGACAACAGCAACTAAGGCCTAAAAGTTGTGGCCAAAATCTTGTCCTTGAACATCTGCTCTGCAAAGCCTGTTTATTTTCTGTTCAGGTGAAAAAAAAAACCAGCCATGACTATTTTCTACTCCTCGTCTTGGCAGTTTTATCCCTCCTGCTTCAACAGTGTCCAAGTTAACCTTAATCACACTGTACAAAGGTAATCAGGCATCTATTATCACCAGAATAGCTGGTACCCAGGAACAGATTGTTTTTCAGATTAGCTATAATGACTCATTTAAGATGCATTCAATTCTCAAAGTGATTTAAGACATCAGTTGTGCCTGCAAGTATAAAATTACCTAGTCTGGCTGAGCACTGGAATGGGCTTCAGGCATAGCTGCTGGTATCCCTGAAGCCTTGGCTGAGCTCAGGACTCCACTTTCACAAATCTTGTTACTGGACTGGGACAAAAACTTGTATTATCTAGATGACAGATTTGCAAACTTTTAATTTATATACACTAAAATAATTTAAGCAAGTGTGCTTTTGATCCATAAACATGTATTTTAAAATTTGAGCCTTTTAAAGAAAGCAAACTCATTTTGTGAAAAATAATTTTGAGATTTGTAGATTAAGAAAGAGTTCAAGTTTCTTGCTACTTAACTACACTTATTTTTAATTATGAAAGAAGATAAAATTTATTGTAGGTACAAGGAAACCTTGATTTAAAATTAAATATTAATGAGAGAGAATTATCAAATTATTCCAAGGATTGAAATGTTTACATTTCCTACTGCATTAGGCTATATCATAAATTCAGTGAACTATGAGGTACATACAGAATATGTCAGTGCATTTGTGCTGACAAATCTTTAGCAGTGGGTCATGCAATTTGAAAAGTGGTAGATTTTGGTCTCTGAATGATACTTTTATGCTATATTTGCTTATTTATCAAAGTCCTCTTATAACTTTTCTAAATTTTCTACCATTATAGCATTCCTTGAATTCTTATTTTACTCATTCAGGCAAATGGAATTAACTGAAATTTAATCTGGTAAGCATCAGGGAGAAAGATCCTTACTGTGCAACATTAATTCAAATACTCTTTCTTTAAAACTTGATTATTTTATGAATACAAGATGAGAAAACTCTTCTCAATGCCTGATCAAGTTGATTAATTTAGTATTGTCTTTCATATCTATGTTTAAAAGAAAGTGTTTTAGACAACCAATTATGGAATTATGGAATTAAGTTTTCACACAATCACAATTTCATTTGAATGCTAACAACTTGTTATTTTAGCACACAAAAGGTAAAAATCCATGAAGTTACATTTGCCAATCACGTATAAGAAAACAGCAGGATTATACTGTATTTGTTGTATGAACTTCTCAAAAATTTTCTTTGACTTGGTATTGTTCCCCAAGGAATCTGTATTCTGTTTTAAGTATCTCTTCCTATGATAATCCTAAGTGTGCTTATTTTATCTCAAATGAAATGACAGAGCTTTTTGTTCTGTGGAGTCTTTTAAGCACTGTAAATCTTAAAGGTGAGCTTTTTTTTTGGGAGGGGGTGGGGGGGCTGGTTGGGGGTC